TAAACTACCCTTTTTAGGTTGAGGTATATCTCCTTAATCTCTCCAGAACTTTTTTCATGAAGAGCGTTGGATTTTGTCAAAGGTCTTTTTTATATCTAATGAGATGATCATGTAGTTTTGTCTTTCAGTTTGTTTATTTGATAGATACATTTACTGATTTTTTTTGTTTTGTTTTGTTTTGTTTTGTTTTTGAGACAGGGTTTCTCTGTAACTTTGGAGTCTGTCCTGGAGCTAGCTGTTGTAGACCAGGCTGGCCTCAAACTCACAGAGACCCACCTGCCTCTGCCTTCCAAGTGCTGGGACTAAAGGCGTGCACCACCACCACTTGGCTCATTTACTGATTTTTATATGTTGAACCATCCTGCATCTCTGGGATGAAGCCTACTTTTAAATTTGTTTTTGGATTCAGTTTGCAAGCATTTTTATTGAGAATTTTTGCACCTACATTCATAAGGAAAATTGGTCTGTAATCCTCTTTCTTGTTGTGTTTTTGTGTGGTTTAGGGATTGGGGTAGCTGTGTCCTCATAAAACAAATTGGGCAATTTCCTTATATTTTTATTTTGTGGAATAATTTGAGGAATATTGACATTAACTTTTTCTTTGACAGTTTGATAGATTTTTTATGTTAAAACAAAAAAATAAAGACCCTGGGCTTTCTTTTTGATTGCTAGACTTTTAATGACTGCTTCTATTTCACTATGGGTTATAGGTCTAATTAAATTATTTATCCGATTTTGATTTAACTTTGGTAAGTGGTATAGAGAAAATGACCCATTTCTTTTAGATTTTAGTACAGGTTTCTAAAGCATGTCCTTGTGATTCTCTGGATTCTCTCAGTGTCTGTTGTTATGTCCCTCTTTTTATTTCTGATTTTGTTAATTTTGATATTCTCTTTCCACCTTTTAGTTAATTTAAATAAGGTTTGTCAATCTTATTGATTTTCTCAAAAACCTAACTTTTTGTTTCATTGGTTTTTGTAGTTTTATTTTATTGATTTCATCCTTGATTTGATTATTTCTTGCTATCTATTCATTTTGGGTGTGATTTCTTCTTTTTGTTCTGAACCTTCAGGTATGCTATTAAATTGCTACAATAAGACATCTTCAGTTGTTTTTTAATGTAGGCACTTGGTATTACAAACTTGCCTCTTAGAACTAACTACTTTTGTTGTGTCCCATAGTTTGGGTATGTTACGTTTCATTTTCTTTCAGTTCCAAAAAGTCTTTAATTTCTTTCTTATTTCTATCTTGAGCCATTTTTTTTCATTCATTAGTGAATCCAGTTTCCATGAGTCTGTAAACTTTGTGTTGTTTCTGTCATTGCTATCCAGATTTAACAGGCAGTGGTGGTGCATGCCTTAACCCCAGTACTTTGGGAGGCAGGAACATGTAGATCTCAGTGAGTTTGAGGTCAACCTGATCTACAAAGTCAGTTCCAGGACAGCCAGGACTGCTACACAGAGAAACCCTGACTTGAAAAACCAAACCAAACCAAACAACCAACCAAACAAAAAAGATACCTAGTTTTAATTCAGGATGGTCAGATAGGATGCATGGTGTTGTTTTGGTTTTCTTGTATCTGTTGAGACTTGCTTTGTGCCCGAGTATGTGGTCATTTTTGGAGAATGTTCCATGAAGTGCTGAGATGAAGGTATTATTCTTTGGTGTTTGGGTGAAATATTCTGTAAATATCAGGTAGGTCCGTTTTGTTTATGACACCAGTTAGCTCCAGCATTTCTATCTTTAGTTTTTGTCTATTGGTGAGAGTGGGGTATTGAAGTTACCCACAAAAATGTGTAAGGGTCAATATGTGATTTAGGCTATAGTAGTTTTTCTTTTACTAACTCGGGTGCCATGGTATATGGTGCATTAATCTTTACACTGCAATGCCCTCTTGGTGAATTTTACCTTTGAATATGTAATGTCCTTGATCTCTTCTGATTAGTTTTGGTTTGAAGGCTATTTTGTCAGATATTAAAATGGCTTACTTTTTGGGTCCTTTCCATTTTTAATTTTACTCGAGGTGATGTCTATTCTTGATGTTCAGGTGTGTTTCTTGGATGTTGTAGAAGTGTGGATCCTGCTTTTGCATCCATTCTGTTAGTCTGTGTCTTGTTAGTGGAAATCGAGACCACCGACGTTGAGGGATATCAGTGAGCAGTGTTTGTTGATTCTTGTTATTTTGTTGTGGTGGGGAGTGTGTATGCGTTTTCTCTGTTTTGATTTGCTAGTTTGGGATTATTTATTTCTTGTGTTTTCTCTGGTGTGGTGGACCTCTTTGGGCTGGATTTTTCCTTCTAGTGCTTTCTGTAGGGCTAGACTTGTAGACAGATATTGCTTAAATTTGGTTTTCTAGTGGATGTCTTACTTTGTCCAGCTAATGTTACTGAGAATTTTTCTGGGTACAGTAGTGTAGGGCTGGCATGTGCGGTCTCTTAGAGTCTGTAAAACATCTGTGCAGCCCCTACTGGCTTTTAGAGTCTCCATGAGAAGTTGGGTATAATTCTGTTAGGTCTTCATTTGTATGTTACTTGGTCTTATTTCCTTGAAGCTTTTATTTAATACTCTTTCTTTATTCTATACATTTAGTGTTTTGACTAGTTTGTGGCTAGGGGACTTTCTTTAGTGTTAGGTCTTGAATGGTTTTATTCATTTCCTTCTACTGTTTGTGATTTCATAGAACTCTTTAAGGGATTTGTTTGTTTTTCTTTTAGGACCTCTATCATTTCATCATGGCTGTTTTAATGTCTTTTACATGTACTTCATCAATGTTGGAAGATTCAGAGCCTTCTGTGCTAGGGTTGCTGGGCTCTCTAGACATACTGTCCTGGCTGTTATTGATTGTGGTTTTTTTTTTTTTTGGACTTTTCGAGACAGGGTTTCTCTGTAGCTTTTGGTTCCTGTCCTGGAACTAGCTCTTGTAGACCAGGCTGGCCTCGAACTCACAGAGATCCACCTGCCTCTGCCTCCCGAGTGCTGGGATTAAAGGCGTGCGCCACCACCGCCCGGCTATTGATTGTGTTTTTACACTGGTGTCTAGGCATCAGGGGTTGGGAACATTCTAATTCTACGTGCTGATATTTGGTCTTGTTTTTGTTGGGTTGGATGTATTGTTCCTTGGTTTCTGTCCCCCCCCCTCCTCCTTTTTGAGAGAGTATGGTACCTGTGTGTTGCCTGGCAGTCAGGGAATTCTTCTCAGACTGGACAATCAAATTGGCATGGGTAGGAATCCAATATTGGGAGCTGACACTTGGGAATTGGGGTGGACTTGGAGCGTCCTGAGGAGGTCCACAGGAGGGAGGAAAGTGTGGTGTTTCCCCAGGTTCTGCTTAGTCCCCTGAGAATGGTGGCAAAGAGTGGGGAGAGGCCACAATAGGTAGTCTGCTGCAGAGCTGGGATGAGGCTGGGGGATTGGATGTGGAGGAGAGGAGGGAGAGAGAAGAGTTGAAGCTCATCCACTTGCTCTGGTGGCCGATCTGACTTTCTGGCCTGCTTGGCCCATGAGTTCTCAGGGAATGCCTGATGGAATTAGGGGCTGGGATAAAGCAGTGAGTGGGGGGAGGAGAGTTGAAGATCTGTGTGATCCACTGAAGATGAGAGCCGTGAGGGAGGGGGGTCTGCAGCAGGTGGTCTGCTCCAGAGCTGGGGATGAGACTGGGGGGCAGGTGAAGACCAGCAGTCAGCCTACCTGCTTCCCTCTATCCTCATTTTAATTTGTATCCTTTAGATTACCTATGAGTTTGCACATTTATCAAATATATCTATGTTATATAATTGATGGGAAAGAACAACTCCTCCTTAGAATAAATTCCAATTGGCTAACATGAATAGAATAATGGATTCAGAAAATTTCCATTTGACAAACCACTGAGTGGTAAAGTAGTGGGTGAGATGGGGAGCGAGTGTCCTCATGCTTTTAACCTATCTTGTCACAGCTAATTGTTTATGAGCAAAATAAGCTGGACAGACCCAGCAGATAGCACTTTAGCAGAGTGATGCTTTGCCCCAGTTTGACATCCTAAATCACCTGCATCTCTGGTATAGTGCCGCAGACTTACTTTGGTAACAGCCTTGCCAGAAATACAGGATCTAAATTTAGTGATGAGGAAATACCAAGCCCAAGTTAGGGACATCTGAAATAATCTGAAATAGGAGATGGGGTAACTAAAAGCAATATGTGATTCTGATTTTGGTATGGATAAGAAAGGAAAAGTCTTAAGAATTTTTTGATAACTGGAGAAGTTTTCTTACGGTTACCACATCACCTATAAAACTGAAATTTCAAAATAAAAATGTTTAAAAAAGAGAAAGTTTAAAAAGTAATGATCAGGAGGACCATTAATGAGGCTGCCCGGCTTCTAAGGGGATTTTCAAGTTCTTAGGACCTTGCTTAGTGAACTGTAACCTTCCGTAGATGACTCTGCAGAAGTCAGTGTGTACAGTTGCAATTGCTGTTGTCTCAAAGGTCCAGAGTTACGGTATCTGAATAAAAACCATAAACGCTTTTGTTGTATTCCATTGTGTTTGCGTTTATAATGAAAGACCTTCCTTGGGCTAGAGCTATAGCTCAGTTACACAGCTTGCTGAACATGCCCAATGTCTTTGGTTCAAAAAACAGTACTTTACTTTAGAAATGTATTGATTTCTTATGACCATTGTGTATGTCTGTGGCGTGTGTGGAGGTCAGAGGACAGCTCTGGGGACTCTTCTCCTCTTCTACCCTCGTGTGGGTTGGGGATCCAGCCCAGATCAGCAGAGCATCTGCTGGGTCCTCCTTAATTTTTTTGTCTTAATTTTATTTTTAGTCATTAGTGTATGTGTACACACGTGTGTGTGTGCACACGTGCTTTATTTGTTCAGTTCTTATTTCTGAAGGGTCTGGGGATTTAGCTCAGAGCTTGATTATGAGAGTGTGGGCTCTATGGCTTCTCCTCAAACCTAGTGTTTACCTCTGAAACTCATACAGAGGATGTTTTTTGAAAATGTGTCTTTGATTTCAGGTAGTAAGACGTTTGATGTCATTGTGATTGATCCACCATGGCAGAATAAATCGGTTAAAAGAAGTAACAGGTAAGTGGGGACAACGTGTTTGTTAGGTTGCTTTCTGGAAGCCACAGTTCTTTGTGCATTCTAGTTTAGTATACTGTAAACATGAGAGCAGTTATCTGAAGCTTCTGATAAAACATTCATCAAAGAATTACTTTCCTTGATTCTAGATACTTGAACTGAAACTCCTATATCTGTGGAACAGTGTCTGCTGCTGTGACTGAGGCCTGAACCATTCACGGTTCCCTCAGCAGCACTGAACGCCATCCTTTTGCCTTCTTCCCTGTCGCATTCAGAAACTTGCAGTAATGTACTAGGAGTGAATCATCTAGGTCATGTATTTTATCATAACTTAGTTTATGTCGTCTCATAAGATAATCGCAGTTGGTTCCTGGGATGGTGTTTACTCTTACTAACTGCATTGTGAATGAACTTGTACTTCTGGTGAATACTTTCACTTCTTCTCACCCTTCAGCTTCCCAGATCTCACATTCCTGCTTTGTTATAAACTTAGACTGAAGGTCTTCCTCTCAGCAATTATCTTTAGCTTACTTTTGATTTTTGTCTAGAAGGTGTGTGATAATTTTCTTTTTAAGTTGTATGAGTTGTGCAAAGAATTCATGTATCTCTTCTGAAGTGTATAGATATCTATGTTTGTTAGTGTATCTGTATCTCTATACGTGTCTATATGTTTTTGGAACCATTTGAGAATGAAATAAGAGACAGTTACTCTTAAAATTTGAAGTATATTTGAGAAAAAAAAAAAGCAGAGGTGTTGTTATATGACCACAATGCAGTTATCGTGTAGACAGCTAACATTAATATAAAACTCCTGTGGACACATTAGACATCAAGTAAACAGCTAACTTTAATATAAATCCCCTATGGACACATTAGTGTCATACGTGAATTTATTCTGATTCACCCGTTGTCCCAGATGGCCTCTGTAGCACACTGACTGTAGATCTGGCTGTACTGAGATGTGTGGCTCCTCACAACTGCCTGCAAGAGCATTAGTAAGTTTGTGAATTCTCTGACAGACTGTTGAATCTGAGATGATTTTAGAGAATGATGGTTGGTTTTAAAAGTGGGGTTAGGGGTCTGGAGAGATGGCTCAGAGGTTAAGAGCATTGCCTGCTCTTCCAAAGGTCCTGAGTTCACTTCCCAGCAACCACATGGTTGCTCACAACCATCTGTAATGAGGTCTGGTGCCCTCTTCTGGCCTTCAGGCATACACACAGACAGAACATTGTATACATAATAAATAAAAAAAAAAGTGGGGTTAGTTGTGAAGACTGCTCCTTCAAACTCTGTAGTTTGACTAGCTCTGGGAATACATTTCCATGCTCTTAGACATTTACCTGAGTCTAACGTTGCTGTGCCTTGTGATGAGTCCATCTTTAATACTCTCGGACCCCACCAAACCATTTTCTGTAGTTGCTACATCACTCTACATCTCTACCAAGAATGGCATCTCCTCATGTCTTTACCAATACTTGTTATTTATAATTCAAATTATAACTATGTTACTATGAAGCGGTATCTTATGGTTTTGATCTGCGTTTCTCTAAAGACCAACCCATACCTGACGGTTTCACATTCTTATCAGTTCTTTATGTTCTATAGAAAAGCTTCTATGTATATTTTAGGATTGCATCTTTAAAATTGTTGGTTTGTAAGAGATCTTTATATAATTTGGATGCTAGATTCTTAGAACAGCATGGCAATCCAGACTGAACACTCAACGCATGAGCCTATGGAGACATTCCAGGCTAAAATAATACTTGGGCCTGCAAGGTGGCTCACTGGGAAAATGCACTTGCTGCCAAGCCTGATGACCTGAGTTTAGTCCCTGGAATTCACATGATGCAAGGAAAGAACTGATCCCCTCAGGTTGTTCTCTGACCCCTACACACCCTAAAACAGACACATGCCAACATAATTAATGTTACGAAAAAAGCCTCATATGTCCTCCCTTTTTCCTTCTCTCTCCATCTCTTTCATTTCCTCTCTTCATTCTCTCCTCTTCTTTTCAAATAGCATAATCCAGAAGATGATGAACTACCAGGGAGGATGACAATGCAGAAGCAAGGGAACAATAATTGATATTGCAGGATGTTGGAATGTAGGAGTGAAAAGACAGAGTTGGAAGGATAAACTTCACAGATGCTGTCATATATTTTTGCAAAGAGAAGGTGTGGTGAAGTAGATAAATAAAGTGTATAAAGGAGGGAGGAGACAGTGTGGTAGCTGAAGAGGCTGGGTATGAGATAACTTCATATGCCAATGGAAATAATGGACAAGGGACCTGAGAAGAGGTAACCATGGGTAAATGAAAGAATCCATGACTGGTTTGAGAACCTGAGAATAGACTGAGCCCTTCAGTGGTCTAATTCTTTTGCCCCATGTGTTTCTTCACCTCATTTATGAGTATGAAGAAGTTGAACTGCATTGTGGCATTGGCTGTCTGTGCATGTGGTCACGCTTTGTGTGTGCTTTGCATGCACAGGGCCCTAGGTCCATCCCTCTTGTGTGCGTGTATATGTGCATGCATACATCCACATGTGTGCACAATGACAAGGCCTAGTTATGTCATTGGAATGGGTTACTGGAGGGTGAGTGCATATATTGTTTGAATAGGTGAATTAACATTTGTGTATACGTTACATGGCTTGTGATTTGAAGTTGCCCAGGGTAGTGTCAAGACTTTTCTTGTTGAGACAGAGGGATCTCAGAGCTTCAGCACACTGAATAGCGAGAGTGAGGACAAAATGTGTTCATTGAGGGAGGTTTGGGGCTAGTGTGACTGGGTGATGCTTAAAGAGAAGGGAGGTTTTGCAAAAGTTGATGGAGTCTAGAATACCAACATATTATCTCCAGTTGTCTATGGAATGCTGGAGAAAGACTTGTATTTCTTTGGATATTTGTAGAACAATTAATGTTCTGGCAAAACAAGTTGACTTTGTACTGTTAATGGTCAGGAGGTATAAGACAGTGGGCCTTTAAAATGAGTGCATGCAGAGGGAGAGAAAATGGGATGACAAGAGCATGGTGGTAGACAGGCTTGAAGCTGCACTGGGAGGGTGAGGTCGGGCAAGGTGATAGGAGATCTAGGGGTCAGCAGTGTGTGCAAGACTGAGGCTTACAGTGGGTACCGCCCCTCACTGAAGGCGGCTGGCTTCTGTATCACTGGGCTCAAAACCAGTGCTTCTTTGTACCAAGACATGTCACCATTCTGGTCACTACTTGCAAGGCTCTCTCTGATGGGGCTCCTGTGAAACACATCATGATGGAATCCAGACAATATTTGTGTAAGTCTGACTGGGAGGAAAAGCATATTACCTGTGGGAAAATTACCAAAATGTAAGTCATTTGAAAGTAATTTAAAAAACAAAAACAAACAGCCTGGCAATTTAAAACTAGTAAAATGGAAAACTCAGGGCATGTGTAAGTGCCAGTGGGTCCACCAGGTGTCAGTGTGACTCCATAGTTACCACGTGCAAGGGACCCTGGAACTGTGTATTAGTGGGGTTGGCGCCCTACAGCTCTTTTCTCTGCTTTTATTTCTTTCTTGAAGTTAATTTTCTCATGTTTTTTCCTGCTCATTTTTAGGTACAGTTGTTTATCACCGCAGCAGATAAAGCACATGCCTGTTCCTAAGCTGGCTGCTGCTGATTGTCTTATTGTTACTTGGGTGACCAACAGACAGAAGCACCTGTGTTTTGTGAAGGAGGAACTTTATCCTTCGTGGTCTGTGGAAGTCATTGCGGAATGGTACTGGGTAAAAGTGAGTTCAGAAATTAGCTTGTTTGTTAACACAGCGTCACATACTGATCATAGGAAGACACTGACTGTCCTCACTGCGTCCGCATCACTGTTGTCTTCATCAGGCTCTGATGAGAGCTTTTTATGCTTTGTGCCTGGGAGAATCTTCCTATTCTCAAGATGTTTGTTTCTTTATCCTGTGTCTTTGAAGTAGGGCCCCAAGTGGCTGGTTTTGGGAAATCAAGGAGAGATCAGAATAAAGTTATAAAAAGCTCCAGTTTGTTAAAAAAAAAAAAATTGGTGTGCATTGAATGCATGTGTATGCGTGCATGTATGTGTGCACCCATGTGATAGCTGTAGTTTAATGAACTAGCAAGAATTTGGGGACTGTCTTACCTCCACTGTCTTCTCCATTCATCAACAGCTCCATTGCCTTTGCGTGCCCCTTCTCTTCCCTCTGTGTGAGGGGCTGAGATCAGAGAACAACAAGACTATTGGAGAGTTATGCGAAGATTCGGGAACCTTTTGTTCGCTGGTTTTTTGTTTGTTGGTTTTCCCCTTGAGACAGGGTTTCCTATAATCTATACAGCCTTGAATTTGCTATGTAGCTGAGGATGATGTTGAACCATGTTGAACTCCCTTCTTTCCTGTCAGTCTGTTTTATTTTATTGTGGAGATATTAATTGCTAACCTGGAATTTATAGTGCCAAGAGCCAGTCTCGGCACCAGGCATTTTCTCCATCATCACCTGCCCCACTTTCTTCCCTACTAAACTGTGGCTCTGGCTCTCTGCCATCTTGAGTATACAAGGCTTTATTTAACTACTTAGTCAGGTGAATGTTATTTGAGTGAATTAATGACTGAATTCACAATGGCCTTGTTTCCAGGAACAAGTGATCATAAAAAGTAGAGACTGTTTATGTGAGATGATAGTACAATAATATATTTAAAATACCCATGGTATGTGAGTTTTTAAACATTCCTTATAGCTACATTGTCCACTGTGGTAAGGACACTACATATGTCCAGTGTGGTAGCCACCGTGCCATGCAGCTCTCTAGCGCTTGACTTGTGCCCTTTAAATGGAGAGGTACTGTCGAGTGGTAAATGTCTGTTGGCATGAAAGACCCACAGGGGAGGAAAAAATGTCATATCTTATGATACCCTTTACAATTGGTCACGTGTAGAAATACTGTTTCAGACATGCTAGATTGAATGCAATTAAAATCAATTACCTTGCATTCTTTTTTTTACCTCTTTCCAATGTTAATACTAGAGAATTTAAAATTATATATATGACTCACACTCGTGGCTCATACTATTTTTTTATTGGATTACACAGGAAGATTAATAACTTCTCCTTTTTTGCTGGAAACTGTATAGTGACAGTAAAAAAAAAATGGTGTTCCTTGGTTCCTTCCTTTCAGATCACCCGTTCAGGGGAGTTCGTGTTCCCATTGGATTCTCCACACAAAAAACCTTATGAGTGTCTTGTACTGGGGAGATTTCGAGAAAAAACTGCTTTAGTGTTAAGGTAAGCTAAGTGATTTTTCAAAATTATATAAATACAGACTTTTAATACGGTGATCACTGATTTTCTTAATTTTTATACTTTTGAAATCTTAAAAATGGCCTAGAGATGAAAAGTATAAGTTATATAATAAATACAAATTTCTGTTAACTTGTGTTTTATGCAGAGTATAGTAGTTAATATGAAAAATGACATTCTAAAGATGTTTGAATATTTACATTGATTTTCCTCATTGATTCTATCTTTAAATTCATTTATTAATAGAATTGATTATTATTTAAACGAGGAAAATGATGCAACTGTAGCATATAATTAAAAATGATCCTTAAAGTAATAGCTTGTCATCTTGCTCTGTTTCAATGAGGAGCCCGGATGTGAAAGTGCCCCCAGTTCCAGATCGGAAACTGATTGTCAGTGTGCCCTGCCTTCTTCACTCACACAAGCCTCCCCTTGCTGGTATGTGTCTATGAAATCTGGCTGTGAGGACTCGGAAAATATTCCCAGAGGGATTGAATTTCGTATTGGAATGGTCTGTAGGTTTGTGAGTGGGATGTTTAATATTCTGAAGCGTGTAGAAACCTTCTCATAGAATGTATGAAATAGAGCCCATGTTAGTGTGTATTACCTCAGCTGTCCTTCAGCATCATCTCCCACGGTTTCTTTACTGTCCTTGTCCCTCCAGTAGTAGCCTGGGCCGATGAAGGCTGTTGGGGTTCAGAGGATGTAGTTCAGTGAGTGGCCTTGTTTGCCCTCAGGTTTAGGATTCAGACCCAGCATAATAGAAGAGATGTCTAGGATTCCCTGAACATGGTAGTTTTATATCTCCAGAAGGCAGGCTACCATTGCAACAGGGGAAGGAAGCTGCTGAGGCTGCTGTTCCCTCAAGCTGGAGTGCTGAGCATGGTGCTCCTCGTTCAGTGTAACCGAGCAGCAAGGATCAGTGTTAGCCGTGGGCACTGGCTCACATGCGTGTGAGTCCTGGCTCTGCTGTTCTGGCAGGTTACCTCAGTCCTTTCCTTGCCACCCTCATTCCCACAGTGAGTAATGATGTCTAATACCGCAGAGTGGTAAGGAGTGATTGCATTGTTTACGGTGTATTTAAAAGGCAATAAATCCTCATTGTCTTTCAAGTGAGAGTTTAAAGACTTGCTCATGGAAGTTCTTGAAAGCCTGACTTTGATATTCCAAGTTTATTTTTTGAAAATTTCTTCAAGAAGATATTTTACTATTTTGATCATTACTACTCAAAATCTCTGGGCCGATTATCAGTTTTCCTTTTGCAGAATGTGGTTTGTGAGCCTGGAAATGAGAATATAAGAAAGCTGGGGAGATGGCGCAGTGGGTAAGAGTGCTTGCTCAGCAAGAATGAGTTCAAGTCCTCAGTATTCATGTAAAAAGGTGGGCGTGGCTGTGTTCGTGTGCCTAAAGCCCCATCAATGGGGTAGAGACAGGCGCTTCACAGAGAGCTCGCTGGCCAGCCAGTCTAGCCTGAGGTTGTGCTTCCAGTTCAATGAGAACCTGCCCCCAGGAGTAAGGCAGGGAGCCCTGAAGGAGGATATCCACTCTGACCTTGGCAAGTGCACTCTGGAATTCAGATGCTCGGTGCTTATAGCACACCTGAAAACACAGATACAAACACAGACACACAACCAACAGAAGATAGTGAACTCAGCATGTCTGTTGCCTCAAATAACTTTGCAAAGGAGTCCTTACGGTGCCTTTAATTTGAGAAATACTCAGATGTGTTTGACTATTCTTTGGCTTAGAAGGATACTCTGAAATCTCATACCTGACACTCTATAAATGCTAATGCATTAGTTTGTGACCTGGATGAAAGTGAACTCTATTGTTTCTTGAAAAAAATTATTTAATACCAGTTGTACTTGAATGAAATCTAATTCGTATACTTGAATTTTGTTTATCATTTGGTATGTACCAAAGCTTAATTTATAAGTCTTTTGTTTGAGGGTTTATAGTTTGTTATAAAAAAAAATTTACAGGGTAGAGAAATGGCTCAGCAGTTAAAAGCACTGACTGCTCTTCCAGAGGACCCGGGTTCAATTCCCAGCACCCACATGGCAGCTCACAACTGTCTGAAAATCCAGTTCCAGGGTATCTGACACCTTCACACCAATTCACATAAAATAAAGATAAATAAATCATAAAATTTTAAAAAATTACAAAAAATATCTAATATCCCAAGCCTTTTATTCTGGAATAATTTTAATTTATTTGCCATTTCTTTTCAATAGAATAAAACTACATGCAAAGATTATGCTGAAGAGAAAAGATTTAAAGACTGTGGATTAAAATCAGTCTTGTCCTTAATAGTCTATATAGTGCAGTTCTCATGTACTGCCAGTAGAGAGCAGCACAAACACTTTTTTTGTGGTTTTTCAAGACAGGGCCAAGGCACATTTAAAATTGAAAACATTTCAACTCAAAGTTGTACTTGTGGGGAAAATCTGAAGGACTCAATATAGCTAATTTCCAAGCCTTTTACATAGTCATCAATCACATCCATGAAATATGTGGTGCCTTGTTTTGAGTTCATATTAGGTTAGCGCATGCATCTTAGCTATAGAGAGGTACAAGTCAAAGCCTTCAGAAAGTAACTTGAGGATTCCGGTGGTAATTTTTTTTAAATATTTATTTATTTATTTATTATGTATACAATATTCTGTCTGTGTGTATGCCTGCAGGCCAGAAGAGGGCACCAGACCTCATTACAGATGGTTGTGAGCCACCATGTGGTTGCTGGGAATTGAACTCAGGACCTCTGGAAGAGTAGGCAATGCTCCTAACCTCTGAGCCATCTCTCCAGCTCCCGGTGGTAAATTTTACAGTGAAATCCTAACTCTGGGGTTGGCAGGATATGTGTATCTACATACACTTAGAACGTTGTCCTGTGAATCTGATGAAACTGCTTTATGTATACTCAAAACATGAACTGTTCTCTCTTGCTCCAAAACCTCAAGATATATCTTTTAAATTAAAAAAAAAATTTTACATGTGTGGGTGTTTGGTTTGCATGTTTGTGTGTACACCATATGCATCCCAGATGCCTGCAAAGGTCAGAAAAGGACATTGGATCCTCTAGAACTAGAATTATAGATGCTTCTGGACCACCATGTGGGTGCTGGGAATCAAATCCTGCTCCTCTGTAAGAGCAGCAAGTGTTTCCCCCCTTTTATTGAAAATAGATTCCCTTCTCATACAATACAGCTCAATCATAATTCCCCTCCCTCAACTACTTCCAGTTTCTCACTTCCTTGTCTCCCCCCCAGATCCACTCTTCATCAATTTCTCATCAGAAAAGAATAGACCTCCTGCAGATAACAACAAAACATGACAAAATAAAATACAACAATGCAAAGCAAAAATACCAGCATCGAAGTTGGACATAAAACCCAGCAGGAGGAAAAGAGTCCCAGGAACGGGCAAGAGACAGAGACCCTCTCATTCTCACAGTTGCGGCAAGGGCTGCTAATGGCTGAGCTTTCTCTCTGGCCCCATGATCAAGAGAACATCTTTCCCGAAAGACTGCAGAGCCTAAGTAAAACCACTGTACCTGAGCTTATGTTAACTTCTAGAAAACAGATGGGAGGGGTGGTTAGCACAATCTTAGCACTATAGCTTAGCCCATGCCAACTTCTAGAAAACAGAAGGGGAGTTAGGATTTTCTGTTAGGTCTTGGGGAAAGTTTTCTCTTTTCAGTTGCCCTGTGTTTAGTTCCATACTTTTGAAATGAATACAGTCTTTTATGTCAACATCTAGAATCTTCCCAAAGCCTAAATTTGAGTTAGTCAATTGCAGGCAATAACAGCTTTTTTTTTTTTTTTTTTTTTTTTTTTTTTTTTTTTTTTTTTTGAGACAGGGTTTCTCTGTAGCTTTGGTGCCCGTCCTGGAACTAGTTCTCGTAGACCAGGCTGGCCTCGAACTCCTAGAGATCCGCCTGCCTTTGCCTCCACCACCCGGCCAATAACAGCTTTTAATTTCTCTTTGATTTTTGGTAAGTAAGAATATTACTCTTGGACAAAGAACAATCTGAAACTCAAAATGTTTTTAAAAATAATGTAATAGCTTTGTTATTTGAGAGTTTCATATAATATATTTTGACCATTTTCACTTCCTCTCCCCAAGCTCCTCCCAGATCCACTCTGCTGTATTGTGTTTCTAACTTTACAATTGTTATCTCTTAAACCTTCAGTTATTCCCAAGGAAGTCTAAGGATGGAGGTGTAGCTCAGAAATGGAGTCCTTGCTGAGCATGTACAGCCCTGGGCTGGATCCTTATTTCCAAGGAAAACCAAACAATCCTGAAGAAGCCTTGTTTGTCGTTTTTCTAAGGCCAAACTAACATGGCAACTGTGCACTGTATTCTGCTTCCTAAAGTACTTTCTTCTTGGAACTACTTTTATACCCATTCCTGTTATGTGCTTAATAGAGCAACCAGAACCCGATCAGGGTTAGAATGATTCTTTTGTCCTCGAAGGGAATGTGCGCTTTTTAAAAACAAGTTGCCGTGGTTTTCCTTTCTCTCAGGCAGTGCAGACCACATTTACTTAACTAATCTAAATGAAGTGTCTTCTCTGTAAAAAAGATGATTTTCAGTGTTGTAGTTATGAATATATAAATAAGGGCTCCTTAACTGGAAATAGCATGGTGAAATTTAGGCAAAGAACTATAGTGTGGGAGTATCTTAGAACATGCAAGTTCCAGTCAAGAGGCGTAGTTACAACTGTTAAAATCTTCTGTCTTTATAAAACTCTTTTCTTAATTATTTCACTAAAGTATTTACTAAAGCTAGACTTATAGTTCATTTTCAGTTTCAAGCAGGTTGTCTTTATATTGATTCTACAGTTTTTTGAATTCATGGATTAAACAATAAAGTAAATTAGTTCTCAGGAGAGGTGTGAGCATTATTGGAAAACTGGAAAGGCGTGTGTGGACGTGAACGCCTCGCTTCTTGTCTGTAAATGCATTGCAGTGAATCAGAACTAGTGCGGTTGCAGCGGTGCTGCTCCCAAGCCTGCAGGTGCTTCCTCCTTTGCATTCCTGACAAGAATGGCAGAACCGACCATGCCATGCTCGACTCTAATTTGCTGTCCATCTTAAAAGCTGAAATATCTGCCTCTTCTATTTTTCTCTGCTTTTAAAAAGTAAACTGATTTCTTCCTTACTGCTGATTTTTTTCTTTTCTTTTTGTACAGAAGTACTGAAAGACTACATCAAGCCAGGCGGGCAGTGTTTGGAACTGTTTGCTCGGAATTTACAGCCAGGCTGGATGAGTTGGGGCAACGAAGTCCTCAAGTTTCAGCACGTGGATTATTTCATTGCTCTGGAGTCTGGACACTGACTTTAAAATTGTGCTGCCTTTACCCAGCTCCTTCAGACTCATGTCTCCTTGGACCAGCCAGTGCGTGCAGACATATCAATTTTTATACTAATCAGTGTGCTTAGAAATGCGCTTTCCAACAAAGGGCCATCCTTTCTGTAATTTTGAGATGAATTCTACTTCAGTTGCACTGATATCCCACACCATCCTAGATTCTCTACAATTAAAGAGGTAAGCAATTGGTAGAAAGACCTGCTTCTGCTGCTGAATGAATTCGGAAAGCATGTACTGTGGACTCCAGGTCGTGGACTTGCCTATGGAGATTGTTTATTTGGTGGTATTAAAAAATAAATGGAAAGCTGGGTGGTGGTGGCGCACGCCTTTAATCCCAGCACTCGGGAGGCAGAGGCAGGCAGATCTCTGTGAGTTCGAGGCCAGCCTGGTCTACAAGAGCTAGTTCCAGGACAGGAACCAAAAGCTACGGAGAAACCCTGTCTCGAAAAATCCAAATAAATAAATAAATAAATAAATAAATAAATGGAAGCCTTATTCCAGAAAGAATCAGAAAATATTACCGGAGTCCAGATGTCTGCATGTGTTTAAACATCAGAAACCCCAGCTTCCTTGGAGCTGTGTCTTTGGGTGGCATCAATTTGCAGTACCCAGTGGTGGCAATTTAACTGGGAAGGGCCATGCGCTCTCCAGTCTCCCAGTGTGCAGCTTCTGCCATGCTGCTTCTTTGTGTTATTTCTGTGGCTCCTGTCTGGTCTGAATTTGCAGCCTCTGCTATATCAGAAAAAGTGCTGGCTAGGTAGTTGGTGTATGTATGTGTTGATCAATTTGGGAATGTTTCCATTGCGTTTAGGGTCACTGTTTAAGCATGTCTTTATTTTGCCTTTTTCTAGAAGACAACTTAAAGATGTTTCTTATAGGAGTCAAGAGGTAAACACTGCTTATAGTTGTGAAAAGCTGTTTAGACTGTAGATTTTTACACAAATAAATATTTTTCTACCAAGGTGTTTTCCTTTTTCTCATTTTCTCTTTCTCTCTCTTTCTTTCTTTCTTTCTTTTTTCCTTTAGTGCTAAGGACTGAATCCAGGAATTAACTTACAATAGGCAGGCATTGTGCCATTGAGCTAAACCTCTAAACTAAATGTCTTTGTCTGTCTGTCTGTCTGTCTGTCTGTCTTTATTTATTTTGGGTGTTCAAGATAGGGTTCCTCTGGGTAACAGCTCTGACTGTTCTGGAACTCATTCTGTAGACCAGGCTTGCCTCAAATTTACAGAGATCCATCTGCTCTGCCTCCCAAGTGCTGGGATTAAAGGTGTATGGCGTTGGAGCACCTTCTGCTCCTTCAGCCAGTAGCCTTTAAGATACCAGACCACTTGGGCGTGGTCTCTTGTACTGTAAAAGCAGCAGTAAACATGCCTGGCCTGGCCTGCTTCTGGCTGCTAGACTTCCTGTTCAAGCAGAGGACTGATGTGACTTCCTGGTCCTTCAGTTTCTCAGGCAGGCCAAGGAACAGACACATTCCTCGGCCACAGCCTGAGGGCTTCAACAGCCAGCACAGCACTAGCTAAGCTGCTTGGCAGTTTAAGGTTTCGTCCATGCAGACAGAAAGGGTTACAGATAGGCAGTAAAGGAGGTTCAGACAAAAAAAAAAAAAAAACAGGCTATGGTGGCTGAGGAGGCTGAGCAGCTGCGGCACCCGGGCAATTCCTGCTACTATGGAAATGACTGCAGGGGCAACAACCACCTTTCCTATGAGCAACCATACCAGGGAGAGAGTGACTGTGGCCAAGCTCATACTGGAGAATTTTTACAGCAACCTGATTTTGCAGCATGAAGAGAGAGAAACCAGAAGAAATTAGAAGTGGCCATGGAAGAAGAAGGATTGGCAGATGAGGAGAAAAAGTTACGCCGATCACAACATGCTCGTAAAGAAACAGTTCTTAAGCCTCAAGGGGACCAGACTTGGCCTGGATGACTTTGAGTCTCTGAAGGTGATCGGGAGAGGAGCTTTTGGAGAGGTGCGGCTGGTCCAGAAGAAAGACATAGGGCACATCTATGCCATGAAGATCTGGAGGAGAGCCGACATGCTGGAGAAAGAGCAGGTGGCTCATATTCGAGCAGAAAGAGACATTTTTGGTGGAAGCAGACGGTGCCTGGGTGGTGAAGATGTTCTACAGTTTTCAGGACAAGCGGAATCTCTGTCTGATCATGGAACTTCTTCCTGGAGGTGACGTGATGGCATGGCTGATGAAAAAGGACACCTTGACAGAAGAGCAGACGCAGTTCTACATCTCAGAGACTGTCTTGGCGATTGATGCAACCCACCAGCTGGGCTTCATCCACCGGGACATGAAGCCAGACAACCTTTCACTGGATGCCAAGGGACATGTCAAATTGCCTGATTTTGGTTTGTGCACGGGGTTAAAGAAAACGCACAGGACTGAATTTTATAGAAACCTCTCACACAACCCACCAAGCGACTTCTTGTTCCACAACATGAACTCGAAGCGGAAAGCAGAGACGTGGAAAAAGAACAGGCGGCAGCTGTTGGAACACCAGACTACATTGTTCCAGCAGTCTTCATGCAGACTTGCTGCAACAAATTGTGTGACTACTGGTGGTCCTTGGGAGTGATCATGTATGAAATGCTAATAGGCTTCCCACCTTTCTGCTCTGAGACACCTCAGGAGACACACAGAAAAGTTAGGAGCTGGAAGGAGACACTGGCGTTTCCTCCAGAAGTGCCCGTCTTTGAGAAAGCCAAGGACTTGAAGGACTTGATTCTCAGATTTTGTACTGATTTTGTATGGAATTTTTTTTTTTTTTGATTTTCGAGACAGGGTTTCTCCGTAGCTTTTGGTTCCTGTCCTGGAACTAGCTCTTTTAGACCAGGCTGGCCTCGAACTCACAGAGATCCGCCTGCCTCTGCCTCCCTAGTGCTGGGACTAAAGGCGTGCGCCACCACCGCCCAGCTTTTGTACTGATTTTGAAAACAGAATTGGGAACAGTGGTGTGGAAGAGATCAAATGTCACCCCTTCTTTGAGGGGGTAGAGAGGGTAGAGGAGTGGGGTGGGGGGATATCAGGGAAAGGCCGGCAGCCATCCCGATAGAAATCAAGAGTATCGACGACACCTCCAACTTCGATGACTTCCCTGAGTCTGAGATCTTACAGCCGGTGCCGAATACCACAGAGCCCGACTACAAATCCAAAGACTGGGTTTTTCTCAATTACACCTAGAAAAGGTTTGAAGGGCTGACTCAGCGTGGCTCCATCCCCACGTACATGAAAGCTGGGAAATAATGAGTGATGAACGCAGTCCCACAGCCGAGAACTCAGGTAGCTGCCTCTGCAGGCTGGCGGCGTCAGCACCAGACACTCACCAGCCCGAGGAACTTCTACAGGGTCGGATTCTGAGACTGCTATAGGAATCACTCGGTTTTGTTTTTTTTTAATACTTTATTATTTGTACTAACTTTGTTATTCAAAGGTACTGGAACAAGGAACGGACATTCCCTTCTAACTGCACGGCCTATGTGCATGTTGAGGTCCATCCTGTTCCCTCCTAACTGCACGGCCTATGTGCAGGTCCATCCTGCCCCGTGCTGAGCTCCCAACTACAACACTAATCCATCCAGAGCTGTGTAGCACTGACCGCTGCGGCAGCTGGAGGTCACTCTCGGTGTCCCTGCTTCACTGCAAAGCGCCTGGGTCTTGAATCAGTAAAAGGAAAAAGCCATCTGGCCGGGTGATGGTGGTGTACACCTTTAATCCCAGCACTCAGGAGGCAGAGGCAGGGGGATCTTTGTGAGTTCGAGACCAGCCTGGTCTACAGAGCTAGTTCCAGGACAGGCTCCAAAACCACAGAGAAACCCTGTCTAGAAAAACCAACCAACCAACCAAACAAACAAACAAAAAAAACCTGAAAAAGTCATCTGTAGCTGCTGCTAGAACATTCGCCCTGCTGGTTTGGACAGCATAGCCTCTAGGTAAAGACAGTTTCTGTGCTGGTCCTAAGGAACTGAAAAAGACACTGAGTTCAGCACGAGGATTTCCTCTCAGATGCTCACAAAGATTCTGGGCAGGGAAGGCGAGCTTCTGTCAGGGTGAGGATGCGTCTCACCTCCCTCAGCATCTGCTGAGAAGTGGTAGGGAGACACACACAGGGAGACACTTGAGCAAATGTCAGTTACTTTTCTTGTGACACGGGACTTCTTTTTTAATAAGAGGACAGTAATTATTTTAACAGAAATGATCATAAAAGCTGCTTGTAGAACCTAGTGTATTTTTATTAAACTGTTTTTCTAAATGTCAAAAAAAAATTGTTCCCCCAAATAAATAAATAAATAAGCCTGATAGGGAAGAACTTAGGTAGGTGGAGAAGACAGAACACAATGCTGGGAGGAGGAAGGGCTGAGGAAGAGAGAGCTGCCATGGAGCCTCCAGAGTCAGACATACTGAATCTTTCCTGATAAGCCACTGCCACGTGGCGACACACAGATTAATAGAAATGGGTTAAATCAAGATGTGAGAGTTAGCCAATAAGAGGTTAGAGCTAATGGGCCAAGCAGTGATTTTAATAATATAGTTTGTGTGGTTTCCAGGGCTGAGCAGCTGGGAACCAACAAGTGGCCCTCTCACAACACAGATTGTTGTGTCTCAAATGATAGAACTCAGTTCCTAAGCCCAGACCATCAATCCTCTGAAGCAGATTCGCCAAGGAACTGGCAGACCATCGTCCACTAGATGGCAGTGTAGGGCAGAAGTGAGAGGAACGTGGTGCACGCTGCCGAGAATTTTAAGATCCTGGGCAGCCCAAGGACGCTAGTCACCATACAATGTTCCCAGCATGCTATTGTATTTTCTTGTGCTGTCCCTGGATGGTTACTTCATTCTTGCCAATAGGCTGGCTTTTACAATTGGTAAATATTCTCTTTCTTCTGCACTGCTGTTGTCCAGGGAAGCCTCTACCAGCAGCCTTTCCTCTCTGCCTGGCTTCTTCCATCCGGTACTAATAAAGAAATGCCCTGGTTCTTTGACGTCATTTTCCTCTGTCAGCAACTTCTTTGTTTCTTACTTGTGTCGCTCGCCGTAAAGACACAGGAAATACTTGGCAGGGATTTTGGGTTTTACTGCTCAATTATAAGGACAGACCTCACAAATTACACAGCTGTCTCTGGAGCGGCTCTCCAATGATGAGTCGCAAGTGATCCCAAACAAAACATTAAACTTCGTGTAATGTCATCTTTTGAAATAATAACATATGGAAACACTTAAAATCCCACAGAATTTCTACTATCCATAAAACTTACTCATATTTGCTTGGAAGCCATTACTTCTGTTTAATTTGTATTCAGTGCCTTGCACGGAACCCAGAACCCCATGCATGATAGGGGACACTCTATCCCTGCACACTCCCAGCTCGGTCATCGTTTGTGAAGTAGGCAGAAAGGAACTTCCGAATCCTTTTTCCTTTGCTATTTATATTCTTATATGTCACATGAATTTTGCAAACATATTAGCCTGGCAAACAGAAGAATAAAAACGTTTGCTATAGAATGGTGTGTCACTGAGGGAAAACATGGGTTTGAGTCCGGCACAGTCCGAAGAGTCCTTCCTAGCAGGAACACTGCGTACTCCTGCCAATTAAGTGCTGTGCACACTGTTCTCGAACGCTGGGTTTAGAAACAGTGTTTCTAGATCTGAATCCTTTTTAAATCATATTTCTATGGTATAATTAAGTATTCTACTTAAAATGGGAAGAATACCTAAACTGAACAGGCCATTCATTATTCTAACTGCAAAAGCGGTTCTGCTGTCAAATGCTTCCTGATGCTGCAATAGAGCGTGTCCAAGGGGCAGCATGCGGTCCTTTGCATTTCTCCACTTTTCACTCCCAGGGACTGTGAGGTGGGTACCAACAAATTCCATCATTTGTAGATTTCACCATAGGTACATAAGAATTCTAAGACAAAAAATTTGGCGTG